TGTGATAATAGGGTCTCCTTTGGTTTCGAACTATATTATTCCTTGGCTTTATTTTTGAATGCAGTTTAATATAAGTCACTTTGGTCATGTTTAGTAATATATATTGAGACTGTATTATAGATATATGCAAATCTAGAATTGTTAGACCTTTCTGGTGCTTTTATCATTAGGTACTTTTATATCGCTAATAGTCCTTTTTGTCATAAGATCTACTTTGTGTGATAATATAGCTGATAGTCTTAAATTTTCAATATGCTTTCTATTTGCAGATCATGGAATTTTTTAAATACAATCTGAAAATCTTTGTCCTTTAATTGGAACATTTAGTCTATTTACATTTAACATTAACATTTGACATATTTGAGTTTAAATCTATTTTCTGACTATTTGCTTTCTGTTTGTCCTGCCTGTTCTGTTTTGTTTTTTTTTTTCCTTGCTTGCTTTTTTAAATACATGAGTTTTTATTGTTCTGTTAGTAATTTACACTTCTTACTATCCTACTCTTTGTAGGGATTACCACATGCATCTCAGCCTGTCACATCTAGTATAAACCAGAGCCTTTCTGTCCCCCTGGAGAATGTGAGGCCAGGACAGCCTCACCTTCTGTCGCCTCAGCCCAGCACAGTGCCACTCTTGTGACATTAATTCTAGGTATACATGACGTCCTCAGAAGACGATGGTGATGATTGTCATTTGGATCAGGCTCTCCCAACCTTGGCACCATTAACATTTGGGTTGGAGAATTTGTATTTGTATATTCAGTAGCATCCCTGGCCTCTGCCTAGTAGATACAGCCAGGACCTTCCCTTCGCTCATGACGAGCAGACTTGTTCTCACACTTTATGTCCTGGGGGACAGAGAGAAGCCTCCTGCCCCAGCTGAGAGCTCCTGAGTTAGAGTCACCTAAACTTTTACCCTTTTCTCTCTGCCCTTCTGTCCCACGGTTTCAGGCTTCTGTCAGGGTTCTGTTCTTTCTGATTGAAGAAGACTTTTTAGTAATTCCTTTAATGTAGGACTACTGGTGACCAATTCTTTTTGTGTGTGTATCTGAAAATACTTAGGTTTTATGTCATTTTGAAAGAATGCATTTGCTGGACATGGAATTATAGGTTGACAAGTTTTTGTTCCAGCCTTTTGAAGATCTCATTCCAACATCTTCTTGTTTCCTTAGTTTTAATTGAATATTTATCTGCCCACTTGATTATTTCTCCTTTTTTAAAAGAAAAAGGTTTATTTTTGAGAGAAAGAGTATGCCTGCGTGAGCAGGGAAGGGGCACAGAGCAGAGGATCCAGAGCAGGCTCGACACTGTCAGCACAGAGCCCATTGCGGGGCTTAAACTCACAAAGCATCAGATCATGACCTGAGCCAAAGTTGGATGCTTAACTGACTGAGCCATCCAGCCACCTCTATTTCTCTTTTAAATAACTTGTTCTTGTAGCTGCTTTTAAGATTTTCTTTTGGCTTTGGTGTTGAGCTTTTCTGCTGTATTGTACAGAGATAGGACTTTCTTATTTTTATTGCCTTTGAAATTTATAGCCCTTCTTGAATCTATGGCCTGATGTTCATCAAATTTGCAGACTTGTCAACCCTTCTCCCTACCTGGTACTTTCCTGTTTCTGTCCTGTGTGTGTTTAGAGCCACATCCGCAGGCATGACGGCCTCCTCATGGTTATCTTCAGTGCATCTGCCCTGTCTTGTCGCCTCCATCCCTGTCTATCTATGAATCGTCCTGGTTATGCTTTTAACCTGTATCCCAGTTCAGGAATTCTCTCTTCCACTTTAAATACATCCCTTGACTTCCTTGTTTCTGTTCCTGTGGGGCTTTTAGTTTTTTTCAGTTTTCAGTGAGTTCTTCTCATGGTTTCTGATTCCCTACTGAAATTTTCAGTCTTGTCTTTTACTTTTTGAACATGTCAATCACATTCTTCCTCTGTGTCTGAAGACTCCCACTTTTTGAACCCTTAACCTGTCTGTTTCTGCTGTCGGTTATTTCCCTGGGATTGTAGCTGCATTGTGCTATTTTTTTCTATGTCTGATGGCTTTTGATTGAGCACTAGATACTATATAATGAAAAATTAGGAAAATATTTTGAAGCATTGAATGATAAATTCTTATCCCAGAAGGATTTACATCTGATTCAGGCACGAGGGTTCAGTGCACTACCAGTTAGACTGCATGTTCTGAAGCTGAGCCTTGCTATGACTGCTTGTGGATCACACTGGGTCCAAAACCAGAGCTGAGGACCTCACTGGTGTCACCCTCCCTGTCATGCTGCTGCTGGCACAGCCCCATTCCTAGGGCTTTGTTTCTCTCTTGCCTCCTGAGGCTGTTTTATAGCTATACTCCATTCTCGGGGTGCCTAGGTGACTCAGTTGAATAACTGTCCGACTTCGGCTCAGGTCATGATCTTATGGTCCCGTGATTTCAAGCCCTGCGTCGGGCTCTGTGCTGACAGCCCGGAGCCTGGGGCTGCTTCGGATTCTGTGTCTCCCTCTCTCTCTGCCGCTCCCCCACTCGCACTCTGGCTCTCTCTCTTTCTCTCCCTCTCTCTCTCAAAAATAGACATCAAAAATTTTTTTAAATACAAAAATTAAGCTACACTTAATTCTCTGCTGCCTCTCTGGACCCTCCTTCTAGACCCCTTCAGAGGAAAAGTTGTTTAAAAGCTTTTTGGTTTCAGTTCTATCCCAAATATTAGTCCTGCTTTTTTCCTCTCTATTCTAATTATTCTCAACAGCTGTTGCTCTGAATTCCTTAGTCTGCCATTATCAAAACCAGGAGTTCCCTCAGATTACTTTTATTTCCTCCTAAAATAATACTCTTTCTCTAAAAGAATATTTTGAGTTTTAAAATTTTTGAAATCTTATGTCAGAAAATATCATTGTGTACTTGGAAATAGAATAATGATTTCAAAATCCTTTTCCTCCAAAACTTTATAGCTGTTGTCCATTCACTTCTTATATCTGGTGTTAATGATGAGAATCTAACCCGAATCTGACTCTCATCTCTTTGTGAGAAATCCTTTTTCCCTCTATGGAATTTTTTTTCATATTTTCAACTCCTCTTTAATATTCAGCAATTTTACTATAATGTGTAGGGTTTTTGCTTTCTTTTTTATCCTTCTTGGGATCCTTTAGTCTAACGCCATCTGTCTTTTCCACACAAGCGCTCCTTTAATGCGTCTCTGACGTGTTCTTCCCATCTGCTCCCCCAGTGCAGCCGCATTCACCTGCTTTTCATCTGCATGAGGCCTGAGAGGAGGGGGTTCTCCTCCCCAGGCCACGCGTGGACCACGCTCCCCACATAGCAGCCGCTGAGGCCTTGTCCTCTCCGCCAGCCTCAGCACGCAAACTCACGTTCAGTATGTATGTCCACTAATTACTGCAAGTCTCTTCAGACCCTCTGCTAGACATCACTGAAATGGAGCTACATTAGAACTAGTTTTTGTGATCTGCGTTACTTTTAGTAGAACAAACACGAAAAGGTCATGAAAGGAGCAAATCCCTTTGCCGATGAGCAGTTGACACTGGAGGAGTCCTTTCAGAGAGAAGGCAGCAGGGGAGGTGGTGTGATGGGCTGGGCGGGGAACTAGGGGGTGGGCATCAGGAGGGCAGGGACGTGGCTCCCGTAGAGAGCGTGGCCACTGCACTTGGTGTGCGAATTCTTGGACATTGTCCTGCATTAACAGTCATCGGTCTAGACTCCCCGTCTTGAACCTGGTGCGAGTTGAGCCTGGCCCTGGGCGGGGAGGCTCCAGGGAGGGACTCCCAGGAGGGTCTCCAGCACCCATGGCCCCTTGGCCTCCCAGAAGCACTCACTTGGCAAGGTCTTCTCTGGGCTTGCCACCCCCAGGACCCCCATCTGGACATACCTCCCTTATTCCTTCTCCTTCCTCCCAGAATTAGCTCACTTTTATCCAGAAATCTAAGTATGCACGTACAGAAATAAATTTTCAGAGCTACCTTAATTTTAACAAAATCAGGATCTAAATAGTCTCATTAAAATTTTAAATAATTTTTATGAAATGGTCTCTCGGTGCTAGTTTTATAATTGATGCCAGGGTACCTGGGTGGCTCAGTCAGTAAAGTGTCCCACTTTCAGTTCAGGCCAGGATCTCAACAGTTTGTGGGTTTGAGCCCCACGTTGGGCTCAGTGCTGACAGCTCAGAGCCTGGAGCCTGCTTCAGATTCTGTGTGTGTGTGTGTGTGTGTGTGTGTGTGTGTGTGTGTGTGTCTCTCTCTCTCTCTCTCTCTCTGCCCCTCCACCGCTCATACTCTGTTTCTCAAAATAAATAAAATTTTTTTTTAATTTATAATTGATGCCTAGGCCTTTGTTTTTTTCAGTGATTTATAAAATTTTGCATTGCATTTAATATTTTAACAAGCAACTTTGCAACTCTGTAAATATGTTTCTAGAGTTAAAATTTTATGGTATGCTAAATCACATTAGGTATTATTTTGATCAAGTAAATTTTTCTTTCCAACCCTTCCTGTTTTATCCCAACATTAAATACTGTCTGTAAATCTTGGCTAACTTATTGTTTTTCTCCGTTTAAAATTTTTCATCCACTGTCTTAAGTTTTTAAGATAAATTGAGAATTTTAAACTTCTCTACAAAGCCATGTAATGTCTGTTGTCCCTTTTAATATCACTCAACAGGCTTAAAATGAAAAACATTTTTAATTAATACTTTATGTTCTTTTAAGTTTCAAAAATTGAGAATGTAATTTGCAAACCAATTTATACTGCTATTGAGCATGTAATTCTATTTAAACTTATGAAAGTATCTTTAATCCTAATTCCGTAAAGTTCAAAATACTTAGGAAGTATTCATCCTGGAAAAAAAAACAAGCAAGCAGCATAATGCACACTTTAAACTTCTAAAATCTATTAGTAAGAGCTAATTTTCTTAAGTGTTAAACACATTTGCAACATAAAACACCCAGATATTAAGACCATTCCACATGCCTTAGTAGAAACTTAAAATTTTAAGCTTTTACCTGAAATTCTAAACTAAGTAGGCTCTGGTTGGTGTCATTAAAGTCTCCGGCTGAAAATGAAACAAAACCAGAGCTTTCTTTAAAACAAGGAGAGGAATGTTGAGAAATGCTAGCTGACTTCTTAGTAAAATCTAAAATCACTGCTTCCCTTGGGAGTAAATGCCTTTCAGAGCTTTGTGCAGAGCAGCCAAGAGAGTAACCAGGGAAGACGGTTACCAAGGGAAATATTTGTTCTCAATCACAGCAGAGGCAGAAAGCAGAGGCAGGGGGAGGGGAGCTGGAAGTGCAGTGGCGGCTCTTTAAGAAATGTGAGGTGTCCCTTTAAGTTCCCAGCAGCCTCCATGGCACCCCTTGAGCTTTACCAGACTACAGAGACGCCATTGTTGCCACGTAGAGGATGGTTCATTCCTGGGATGCCTTTAGTGGGGTTAACGCGCTGTCCCCTCTGCCTGCTCCCCCAGTCTGCAGGCAGCGATGTTAACAAAGCAAAGAGCTGTTACATATTAATGTCACTGAAATTATGTAACTTCCAGACTTGAAGCAATAAGGAGAAAATGTGCAGAGAAGCTTTGAGCCTTCTGATTATGGTTGCTCTGGCGAATTGGGTTGTCTACTTTGGCCTCCGTTTTTTTTACGTACAAATGAGCAGGTCACAGAGTGGTCAAGGTTCCAGGCTCACAATGCTGCTTATGGACACCTTGGATGAGTTACTGTTGTTTCTGATTAAAGTTTATCCTTCTGTACAACTGGGATGATAATACCTACCCTGCAAATACAGTGAATAGCCTATGTGAGGTACCCGTCACAGACTAGGTAATTAAATAATGACCCTTTTTAAATTCTCACTCTCCTACTTTAGGTGCCCAAATTTTCTGACAGAGAAGAGCTATATTTTTGTTCTTCCAAAATCTTAAAATGACTTGGATAGGTCAGATCAAGATAATTGACTAAGCACATGGGCCACCCAAATTCCAAAAAGTAAACTATATATGTGCAAAATAATTAGTACTATTAGAAGAAAGAAATGTTGAGAAATTCCTGAAAGACTAAAGGCACAGAGATTCTGACAGATATAATACCACAGCCCAAAACGTAGGGGAGAGGATAGCTCTGTGGGTGTTCCCCACAGGTTTAGAAATTTCAAATGCTGGGAATGGTGAGGTTTGTTGGAGATTGCACTTAAGAGTAGCAGGTCAGGTAACCTGACACTCCTAATGTCTCCATCATTTGTTCTGAATTATTAGGCGTCTGCCCCTAAGCTGAACCTGTGTTCTCATCCACTGCTTGGCTGGCTGGTGGAACAGGGAACCCTGATGTTCAGAATCCATGCTCACCACCAGCACAACCCAGTATAAGCACAAAATTGACCATCATCACTGATATGTTTTGGTCAGTGTTTTAACCCAGTACTCTTAGTCTTGAGCAGATCGATCAGGATTACCGAACTTTTGGGAAGATTCTACTATTAGAGATAGGACCCTCACCTTCCCTCCCCAAAATATTTACACGCAATCAGAAAAGAAAAGGGCTTTGGAGATTAAACAACAGTGGGATGCCATTACACACTTATTAGAATAGCAAAAATCCAAAACACTGACAACACCATGTGCGAGCAAGGGTGTGGCGCAACAGGTACTCTCATTCCTTGCCGGGAGGAAGAAAATGATGCGGCCATGTGGGAAGACCGTGTGAAACGAAACACACTCTTAATCTGTGATCCAGCAATCCTGCTCCTTGGTATTTACCCAGATGGTTGAAAACCTATGTCCACACAAGTGTTTACAGCAGCTTTATTCATAAGGCCAAAACTTGGAAGCAACCAAGATGCCCTTCAATAGGTGAATGAGTAAATTAACTGTGGTCCCTCCAGACAATGGGATATTTTTCAATGCTAAAAGGAAATACCCTGCCAAGCCATGAAAAAACATGAAGGAACCTTAAATGTACATTACTAGTGAAAGAAGCCAGTCTGAAAGGCCGCATACTGTACGATTCAATCAGTGGTTGCCGGGGGTTAGGGCAGAGGGAGGGATGAGTAGAGCACGGAGGATTGTGAAGTCAGGGAAGCTACCCTGTATCATCATAATGGTGGATACATGTCTATACATTTGTCCAGACCCATCAAATGTACACCAACAGGAATGAACCCCGGTGTTACCCATGGGCTTGGGCAATCAGTATGTCAGTACAGGCTTATCAGTAGTAACAAACACACCACTCTAGTGGGGGATGTTGGTAATAGGTGAGGTCACATATGAAGGGTGAATTGGGAATGTATGGAAAACCTCTGTGTACCTCCCTTTCTGTTTTGCTGTGAATCTGAAGCTTCTCTTTAAAAAAAAAAAAAAAAGTGGCCTGATTTGTTGAAGTACACTGGGGAGGGAAAAATGTTGAACGCAGTCTTCGACAGTGTTTACAACAAACAGAACCTTGACACTCTATAGCTGTTTGTGGTCCCAGCATCATTTGACTCCTTGGGATTCATTATAGAAACACATCTTTAGCTGCACATTTGTATATCCAGGAAAGTACTTGGAAACATTGTAACATAAAAGAGAAGGAATTAACCCACTTGTATATTACAGAGACCAGTAGACTGCCCTAAGCTATGCAGAGAGACAAGTAACTGATACACAGGTTAGCAAAGTCGTCCACAATGTACCAAGAGGAAAAAAGAAATGTCAAAGTAGTCCATGTGCTATATTATCTTACTTCTAATGTATACAGTGTCACACCTTTCTGTAGAACAAACAGTAAGGAATAAACAAGGCATAAATAACAGATTGTTGATAATGGTTATCTGAGTGATGCAATTGTGCAGGTGTTTTACTGTGTAATCTGTGTTTTTTAACACATTTAGCTTTTTATAACCAGATGAGGAAAAAAATAACTTTTAAAAAGAATTTAAACAATCAGAAGTAACTTAAAGTAGCAGTGTAGAGGAAAAACAGTAGTTACTGATGTCAAGTCTGACCGTATCGCAGAGACCAGGACTCTGGTTTCTTGGTTTCCTGCTCTGACATTTTGTTGCTTCATGGACTGTTACGTGAATCCCTCTGCAGAAACTATTTTAACCACATAGTACATGGAAAATCCTGGTATTCGAGGTCTCCTCCCCTATATTACTGCAGCAGTAACTGTGTCCTGAAACTTGGCCCTTATAGCTGCTCAGCAGCTTGGTGTCGGTCACTATGCAGGTGTGAGCAGGTCCCTGGCGCCCAGGCCAAAGCATGGCCAGCGTGGACTCAGCCTCCAGAACACATGTTTGAGTAAGGTCATCTTTTCAGTGTTTTTGCCCCTGGGGTGTGGAGTACCAATGCGTTAGTTTTTCTTATACGGGTGTGGTTGCTTTCCATACAACAGCTTCGCTGATGAAGCTACATGTCGGAAGGCTTAGGGAGGCCCTTCCCAGAAATGGGTGTTGCCTCCTCCAGCCATTCTGTCTCCGTCCCTGTCCCTCAAGTGTCGTCAGCCACAGCACACTGCGGTGTGACCGTTGTCCCACCTGCTGTTACCGACTCACCCCTCGGAGGGGTACATTTACGTGCAGTGCTGATGTGGGAATGTGCTGTGATGTGGTCAACAGATGCCTGGATTGTTTCCCCTTGGAGTTTTGGTGCATGTTTCTACAAAGATCCTGTGATGTTGTGTGTACTCCCACCATAAACAGAATGCCTATTTCTCTGCCACTTTATTTTTTAAATGATTTTCATATTCTGGAATAGGTAATGCAAATATATACAAAGAGCATAAATTTTTGAATTACAGCTAAAAATCAGTTCTCTGTATCAAATATTGGCAGGTCAGGTGATTCTCCTAACCTTACCATCAAGGTCTGAAAAAGTTTGATCACTATAAAAGCATTTTGAAATCACCGTTGTAGGGTTGTTGTTGTTTTTTTAATGTTTTTCTATTTATTTTTGAGAGAGAGCATGGGCATACACACACACACAGAAGCAGGGGAGGAGCAGAGAGAAGGGTCAGAGGACCTGAAGCAGGCTCCAAGTTGCATGCTGTCAGCACAGAGTCCAATGCAGGGCTCAAATTCATGAACCACAAGATATGACCTGAGCTGAAGTTGGGACACTCAACTGACTGAGCCACTTAAGTGCCCCCACCAATGAAGTTTAAAAAAAAAAAAAAGAAGAGGAAGAAGAGACCCTGGGTGCAGCAGACCCAGAGGCCCTGGGTAGCTTCCTGCCCTCGGGGAGTCTGCCAGAAATGTCAAGAAGCAAAACTATCAGTGAAATAGAAAGCACTCATACTGCAGACAAGGTCTACAATGCCAAAAGCTGGTTTTTTAAAAACAAACCTAATAAAATCGGTAGCAAGGCAGATTCAGGAACAAAGAGGGAGAGTGTAACTTCAGTGTGAGGGCTTGAAAATGCTGTCCCTGTAGATTCAGAGAGCCGTTAAAAGAACATAAGAGGAGGGTCGCCTGGGGCCTCAGTTGGTTGAGCATCCAACTCTTGATCTTGGCTCAGGTCATGATCCCAGAGTTGTGGGTTCCAGTCCCGAGTCAGACTCCACACTGAGCATGGAGCCTGCTTGGGATGCTCGCTCGCTCTCTCTCTCTCTCTCTCTCTCAAAATATATAAATAAATAAATAAGAACATAAGAGGATATTATCAACATTAGGCCAGCAATTTTAGATGATATAACAATACCTAAAAATATACAATTTAATGAAACTGTCATCAGAAGAAATAAAATCTGAATTGTCTGTAACTATTAAGGGAGTAAATTCATAGTTTCAAACCTTCCCACAAAAAATACCACAAGCCTATATTATTCATCAACAAATTTTATTGAACAATATTTTTAAAATTTAATTTAATTTTATTTTTTACAAATAGTTTATTGTCAAGTTGGTTTCCGTATAACACCCAGGGCTCATCCCCACAAGTGCCCCCCTCCGTGCCCATTCCCCCCTCCCCCCCACATCCATCAGTCCTCAGTTTTTGTCAGCATTCCAGAGTCTCTCATGGTTTTCCTCTCTCCCTCTCCCCCACCATTCCCCCCCTTCTTCTCCCCCATGGTCC